ATAGTTATTTTTTGGGGGACTTCAAGGGGGGGGGATTGAAAACTTTTTTCAGAGAATTTGGAGGATGCAAAATTTTTAGAAGAAGCTACGAGAGATTGCCCAGGGGGATAGTTATTTTTGGGGGGACTTCAGGGCCCGGGTCTTAAGATTTTTTTGTCATTTAAAGATTTCACCTGCCCCCTCCCCTCTGCCATACATTATGAACGCAGCCTTATAAGCTTGTAATAAATAAATACTTCAGGTGATACCAGTCTTCATGTTATTCATTTACCAACCAGATTGGCTGTTGAAAGAAAGTGACTTGCAGAGCTTTTTAAAAAATATATGACGTCCACTAGTTGTGTAATAAATGTTTATGCAAAAAAAATATTCTCATATTTTGCATTTGCAATTGACTTCACAGTTCTTATCACTGAAAAATCAATGTCTTTGTACATTTTTTCCAGGTATACTCCATTTTATTATGTCAGCTGGCAGTTACCATTTCTTTTATATGCTTTTTCCTCTATTGGTAAGACAATCTATGTCAATTATTTTGTTATAGATCATGCCGTATCTTTACTAGGAACCCATCGCGAAGGGGGTGTCATTCAATGGGTAGCCCATGCAGAAAATTTGACAACCCTCCATTGTTGGAAAAAATGGCCCCTCATTTTATTGCAAGTGTTGTGAGACCTCTCCTGGTAAAAAAAGATTGGTCCCTTAGTGGTTTCTCGTTGCTAGGTGATATTCGAGTCCCTGCCTTGTAAATCAATAATCCAGGAAGTTATCAAGTGAGCAGAGAACCAGTGAGATTTCAGGAAATTGATATACATTATAAAATTCATGCACCTGCGCTTAAGTCCGTTAAAAAATTTTGTTTACTTTAATTCTACAGCGAGCCAGTGAAGCATTATGCATTGACACATCCTGGATTGTTTTATGGTGCTTTGTAAGTATTGTCAATAAAAATGCTTAACTTATGACTTATTTTTTTATTCTTTATTTAGTTTCTCTTTCAATTATATTTTTTCTTCCAGAGCTGTCACATTTGTAACTATGATTGCAATGGCTTGTTGTGAAGGGGTCAGGTAAGTTTATATGTTTGTCATGATTATGACTGATAGTAATTTGGCTACCATATAATATTGCTGTGCCTGGTTGTACTAAGAATGGATAGCAATAGGCCATGGTGTATAGGTTGACATTGTGTATATAAGTCAACCACTAATTTTGATGTTCAGAAAATAGGTGATCGTTATCATTTACTCTTTGTATAGTCAACCCTACGTTTTTCTAGCCATTTTACATTGTTTGGAAGTCTAGCGGCTTGTACAAATTAAAGAAAAGGACCAAACAGACCAATCCACTGAAGACTGCAAAATTTCAGGCAGTAACTACATCTCTAAGCATTATATAAAAGGTTCTTTTTAGTCTCTTTTAATTTTAGATGTGAAAATAATTTACACGTTTTTCATTCGTTTTGCAGACGGCAATTCCCAACAAACCTTATCTTCTTGACCTTATTTGTAAGTATGACATTTTGTTTAAGAGCAGTAACTTGCCATGTGCTTGCCTGTTGTTGCTGCTGTTGCTGCTGCTGTAGCTGGCACTGTTGTTGTTGTTGTTACTGCTGCTACTGTTTTTTTTTTTTTTTTACTGCTGCTTTTGCTGTTGTTTGTTGCTACAGTAATTTTCTAGATAATATGTACGAATTTGAAATAAATATTTTGCATTTTATTTTCCTACAAGACAATTTGTGAAGGATATCTTCTTGGAGCAGTGTCAAGGTAATTTCAAAATAATTATCTTTGGAAACTTTTATTTTTTTAACCAATAAATTTGTGATTTGGTTTATAACTACAACTACAATGTATCCAGAACTGTGCCTTAATCACTCAGTTGTTTTATAATCTTTATTTACAGTGTCTATGACAAAGATGAAGTCCTCATGGCTGCAGGAATCACCACAGTATGTATCTCTTTCTTGTTTATTCCCTTTTTAGCTTTATAAGACTTGAATGTACTATGAGGTTTGTTATTTCATTTCAGGTTGTGGTCCTTGCTATTACAATTTTTGCATTCCAGACAAAGGTACTAATAGATGTTTTCTGAATTCATAAAATGACTATTGCTTGAATAAAGTATTGGGTAATGTTTAGGTGATGGTAAGGTAACAGTAAGTGGTGGACAAACAGAGTTACAGACCACATACCATATGGTGCAGATTGTTCACTATTACCTTAACAGTGTACTCAGGGTTAGTCTCATTTCAGTGCATCAATTTATAGAAATACCAAAGGCTAGTTAAAGTGCATGACAAGTATGCTTTAATAAAAGGCTTGGAAATTCCACTTCACTGAAAAACATGGAATGATGTTCTAAACAAATTTGAAAAAAAAAAGATATATATATATATATATATATATATCATTATTATTATCCATTTTTTCAGTATGACTTCACTATGATGGGAGGATTTCTTTTTGTGGCTCTCATTGTTCTCATCTGCTTTGGCTTTCTTGCTATCATTTTCCACAACAGGGTAAAGTAGAATGTTTATATTATTCTTATTATTTAATCTGCTAGGGATGGTGGGGATGGAGGGAAGTGCTAAGTTCTCTTTGGCATTGCTTGATCCTATTTGGGAGGACATGACAACTTTAGCACTTTATAGTGAATTAAATGAATTCTGTTGTCCATTTCACCAAGAGCCAGTGAATAAGTTAGTTGTATGACTTTTGCGCATTAAATCTTATCCTTAATTTGAGGATTTGATTATTATTTATTTCATAATGGGACCAAAAGGGAATGTCAAATGAACAATGAAAAACGTTCTTACTTTCTGACAGAACAATGTATTCAAAATGGTGATGAAAGCTAATAATGTTTTCCCAAAAGAGGTTGAAAAAACATATCTAAAGTTACATGATTGTCTGATTTTTTCAGGTGGTGAACATTGTCTATGCTTCTCTTGGAGCACTCCTCTTTGCTTTGGTATGTAATTCTCTTATTCATTATTATATACAGCTCATGGAATGAATGACTCTTAAGATAATTATAGAAAAAAAGAATCACAGGGAAAACTTGATCATTGAATGGCATTTTCTTAGATTTGATAGAAAAAGAAATTCATAATTCAACACACAATTCACAAGAAAATTTCACTAACATGACAGCAACTTTTCCAATGTACTCTCACTATTACATCCTCTTCTGCCTCTTTGTGTATTGTCTATCCATGTTTGTCTGTCTCATACTATTAGGCTGGAGAGGTGGCAAAATAAAATTGTACTCAATATCTCACATCTGATTAGCCAGGAACTTGTAGCCAATCCCTGATACCATGTGAACTTGAAATTTGATATGATTAATGTACTATCTGTAGGTTGTTCTACAGACAATACAATCATTATATACCAATAACTAGAATTGACATCCATTTTTCCTTGGCCGTTTTAACATATTCATGGTGATTTTGTTAACAGTACCTGGTGTATGACACCCAGATCATGATGGGTGGAGGCAAGATGTATGCTATTTCACCTGAGGAGTACATCTTTGCAGCTCTGAACCTGTATCTTGATATCATCAACATGTTCCTTTACATCCTGCAGCTTGTTTCAGCTGCTTCAGGTGACTAGACTCGTCATGCACAATCAAGATTCAGTTACCCAATGTTATTAGACAAGAAATCATTGCAATTTATCAAATAACTCTGACAACAGCAGTAGCAGATCCAGAACCATTTCAAGGGGGTAACTGTTACCTAAGAAAAGTGCATCACATAGTGTTCTTTTTATGACTTGCCTTATCTTTTATTGTTGTTTTTCAACTTCAAAGGGGGGTGACTATTCACCAGACTCACCCTCCTGGATCTGCCCATGAACAGAACTTTATTTATTAATATTTAAAAATAAATAAGATAAAGACAGAAATAATACACTAACTTGAGCTGTGAACACTTTGAGTTTTTTATTGTTAAATCATCCCTTGATCCAGTTGATTGGAAGTATTAGGTTGATTTTGATCCCTTGGTGTATTGGAGGTCAATGCTTTAATTTAGATGATTTAAAACAATGGAAAGTTCAGGGAAAAACTGTTCACAGTTCAAGTGTCCTCATTGTAAAACAATAAATAAACTTTTTTGATTTAAAAAACCCTAACTACATGTAATACTTGTTAAATAAACTGGTAATGACTCGTAATAGTAAACGATATGACCCAGGCCCAGAATGGGTGTCAGTTTAGGGTATTGACATGACTAGCAATATACTACAGACATTCTACCAACAACCTACTGACGTCCTACTTACATCATACCAACATCCTACCAGCTGTTCCTACTAGCATCATACAAACATTCTACCAACATTCTAACAACATCCTACAAGCATCTTACCCACATCATACCAACATCCTATCATCATCCTACTAACATCATACCAACATTCTACCAACATCCTACAAACATTCTACCAACATTCTACCAACATCCTAACAACATCCTACAAGCATCTTACCCACATCATACCAACATTCTACCAACATTCTACAAACATTCTACCTACATACTAACAAACTTTTAACAACAACTTACCAACACCCTAGTACCAACTTCATTCCAACATCCTACCAACAACCTACCAAAACCCTAATACCAACATCCTACAAACATCCTTCCACCAACCTTTCAACATCCTAGCTACCCACAACATACTGTACAAACTGAGAACCTATCAACAACTTACACGACACCTACCAACTTCCTACTTACACAGATTTGGGGGTTGTATTGTTTGCTATATAATCGTAATGACTAGTAAAGTAAATAAGAAGGAAAAAAGAAGTTAATAAGGGAAACTAAAAAAACTATGTACAAGAGTTTGTAACAGTAATATAATTTTGGACGTCAGTCCTTCGTTGGTCCTATAACTTTATTTTGGGGTCCAATTTTGTCTTAATACTTTTTTTTTTTTTCTTTTCCTTTTTTGTTGTTGTTTGTTGTTGAAATTTTGCCCTCTTACGTGCAAATGACTCTAGTCATTATTTCACTATTCATACTTGGTCCAAGAAATTTTAGATATTATATATTTATTAGCCTGTTATGTGGAAATCTAATTTAATTGATTTGCATTTCTTTGATATTTGATTATTTTTAATTTATCAGGAAGCAAGTAGTCATACTATGGCTACAAGTACATGACAAAGGACTAATCTACATCAGATTGTGCTTCTGTCTGTGGCTTATCAAGATTATGCTTATAAGGGCAATAGATGACAATTATGTTAGTATTTTCACAGAGAGCACACATTCTTCGTTCTTGTGTCAGTATATTACATTATATTAATAAGGGCCTAATAATAAATCGCTTCTTTATAAGATTTTCGGAAAATCCAAAATTGTTTTTTCCTACCTTTTTTATTTTTCCTTCTCTTCTCTAGAACTAAGTTTTGGTTCAATACTCCAGTTTCGACTTCTCTTTTACACAGCATTAGCCTCAATAGCATGTAAATAGAGTACATATCATATAGCCACTAAAAAAACTATCAAATTTGTACAAATTAGTGCAAAGTATTGTAGGTCTACGGTTTAAAGTGCAAACAATATAACCGTGAAACTTTAGTAATACTAAATAGCACAATTTCAAGCAAATTCCATTGTTTTCCATCGTTTACTTAGCACTATTTTGTACTATTTAGTAATTAGTGTTTCATGGATTATACTGAACTTACTAATTTATATGATTTCCTACTAAGTTTTTCACGGATATATGGTATGCACTTTATCATTTAGTATTAGTAGCAGCCTGTGGTAATCTTGTGAGGAATGCTACCAAATATGCTTGCTGTAACATTCTGACACAAAAACCAAGCTTGGTCCCCCTGTTGTAATTTAATGATAAAAAATGTTCATATATTAATATATTAAGGTAGTGATTCAAAACACTAATCTAAATGTGATAGCTTGGCCTTGTTGTCAGAGTTAGAAATGGTAACGTTTTCACTGATTTTGTGCAACAAGTTACTGCGATTTTTATAAACATGCAACTCTGCAAGCTGCACTGTGAAATCAGTTGGTACCTTTCATATTGAGTGACTGGAGGCAGCAAAAAAAAAAACAAATTTCAGCGTGCAGCTCGCAGACACAGAGTTCGCATGTTCATGAAAATTGCAGTAATAGAGTGCACACAATAAACCTGTGAAAAACTAAGTTACTTAGCACAACATAGTGCTAATTAGTCTTGTGGTATGTAATGGTAAACATGCATGTGCAATAAGTGACAGGTTTTAGGTTAATTTATCATGTGCATAGTACTCTCTAGCATAGACGATAAGAGGAGTAAGCCCTTATTTCGTCCATGTGATTAGATAGTTGAGTTTTTCGAGTGTTTGGTTTGTGCTTTGTAGGTAGGAGTACTATTGCTTTCAAAGCTTCCAGAGGAGAATACCACAAATACAAATACAAGGRAATGATTTTTAAAAATTCTTATATCCCGCTGTAGACCTCCAGATCCCTATAGCAGAGGAGTAATCCCAAAGAAAACTTTAAAAGTAAAAATTGTAACAAATTGGTGCACGTCAGGTGCACACTGAGCTGTTTCAAGTGTTCAATAAAGAAAAACAAATCGAAAGTAATCCTAGAGATGGAAATAACACATACCGTACGTCCATATAGTTTCTTCAAAACTTTCGAAAGTAATTCGATTCATGATATTTTCCTAAGCTACTTATTATTTCGTTACTTTTTTATGTCAAACATTCAAATAAGGGCGCCGTTACTTCATTATCACATTCCTTTAGTCATATTCGAGTAACTCTCATCGTTGCGCACTTTATTCTCCATGGAGACAATTGTTCTGGGCACACAAATGTATATCTACTACTTTTTCGTCATCAGTTGTTCATTGTCATGCGCTCTGTTCTCCATGGATACAAAGCCGAATGAATTGCATTACAATTGTTCATCATCGATTGTTCATCGTTGCGCGCTCTGTTCTCCATGGATACAAAGCCGAATGAATTGCATTACAATTGTTCATCATCGATTGTTCATTGTCATGCGCTCTGTTCTCCATGGAGACAAATCCGAATGAATTGCATTACAATTGTTAATCATCGATTGTTCATTGTTGCGCGCTCTGTTCTCCATGGATACAAAGCCGAATGAATTTTATTACAATTGTTCATCGTCGATTGTTTATTGTTGCGCGCTTTCTTCCCATGGAGACAAATCCGAATGAATTTCATTACAATCGTTCATCATCGATTGTTCATTGTTACGTGCTCTGTTCTCCATGGAGACAAATCCGAATGAATTTCATTACAATTGTTCATCGTCGATTGTTCATTGTTGCGCGCTTTCTTCCCATGGAGACAAATCCGAATGAGTTTTATTACAATCGTTCATCGTCGATTGTTCATTG